CTGTGACGGACGCCTTTGTCCAGGGCTACGTCCTGGACAAGGGGGCTCCCGAACGCTTGCTGACTGACCAAGGGAAGAATTTTTCGAGTAAATTACTGCAAGAGGTGTGCGACCTGTTGGGTACCAAGAAGGTGCGTACCTCCCCGTACCACCCGCAGACGGACGGGATGGTGGAGAGGCTTAACAGGACATTGACTTCTATGTTGTGCCAGCAGGTGTGTGAGGCGCATGTTGATTGGGACCTGCAGGTCTCTGGGGTCCTCGCCGCGTATAGAATGGCCCCCCATGCAGCTACGGGATTTTCCCCGTTTTATCTGATGTACGGTCGGGAAGCCGACCCGCCCATGGAAACGCAGCTGGGTCTGTCTGCACCACGAGCAAATTCGAAATTGGCAGAGCATATTAAATTTAATATTCATAAGCTGACAGAGGCAAGGGAGGCCGCACGGCTTAATTCACGGGCTCGCCAAATTGCAAACGAGCGGTTGCGGGCACGGAAGGTGTCCGTGCACAATTGGGAACCAGGTGACAGGGCCTGGCTGCATTGCCCGCAGGCACCTTTGGCTACGTCGCCTAAATTGTTGAAGCCGTGGCGGGGACCCGTGGAGGTCGTGCGGGTTGCACGCCCCCAGTGCGTTCAGATAAAATGGGGAAAACGCCGTTGGTACGTCCACCCCTCCCGACTGAAACCGTTCTCGCCTCCGTATGGCCTCCCCTTGTGTCATGAGGGCCGAGCATGTGACGTGACCAGCGACCCTGAGGGGGAATTGTCTTTGCCTGCTCCTCACATGTCTCCGCCTGATCCGCTCCCAGGTGTCTCGGAACTGACAGCTGCCGACCACCGGCGGCCGGATCTTGAGCAGCCGGAGCCACCGGACGGTCGCCAACGTCCCGTCCCATACGACGGACCGGCCAGACGGACTCGCGCTAGGTCGCGCTACTTTGTGTGACCTGCCACGTGAGGAGTCGAGGCAGCCGGAGCGCCTCGGCACTGCGTTTAGTCACAGAGACACTTGGCGCGTTCGGTTTCCGGTGTTCGCTTTTATTGTGTTCGTTTTCCGGTGTTCGCTTTTATTGTGTTGTTCGTCGGGCTGTATATTGCTTCATATTTAAGTGTTGTGTTGTGTTGTTGTTGTTGCGTTACGGGGCACACTGAGAGGTGGAGTTTCTTTGTTACTGCATTGACGTTAGGTTGTGTTGTTGGTTAACAGCCGGGCCGGCTGCAAGCTATGTGGGAGGGGGTGATGTAGAGGTGATACGCGCTGGGATTAGAGATCGTATGCCAGCGCGTAATGATTGGCTGTGTAGGTGGTGACGTGCGCTGACGGTGGAGGATCAGGGGTCAGCGCGGGGTCGTGGGTTACGGGGTACTGATTGGCTGTGGACGGGTGACGTGCTGAGAGGGAGTGATCGGATGGCAGCGCGGTGTGATTGGTGGAGGAGTGTTAACACGCGCTGGGGAAAACGGATCGTAGAGAGAGTGCGTCGTGATTGGTTCATTAAGGAGCGATGCTCACGTTGAAGTACGCATCAGCTCCGCCTCTCGTGAGCAGGGGCTATAAAAGGGGATGCACACAGGCGGGAGGGCAGTGTGTAACCAGCGAAGAATGAAGACGGGGATGAAGACCTAGGGCCCTGCGGTACCTAGTCCCGCTGTCCTAACGGGACCGGGACTCTGTGTAACCCAGAGGCGAGTGTAGTGTGTGTAGCCATAGGCGTAAGGTCTACACGAGCCGAATGCAGTGTATTGTGTAGCCAGGGACATAGGGTCTACACGAGTCGAGTGTATTGTGTAGCCAGGGACATAGGGTCTACACGAGTCGAGTGTATTGTGTAGCCAGGGACATAGGGTCTACACGAGTCGAGTGTATTGTGTAGCCAGAGGCGTAGGGTCTACACGAGTGAAGGGTATCGTGTGTAGCCAGAGGCTTAGAGTTTACACGAGAGTAGTGGAGTGTGAAGTCGGAAGAAAGGAGACTACACGTTGTATTTTGATACGTAAAGATTTAATAAAAGTGTGTTCCCGTCAAGAAGTTCCTGCCGTCAATTCCCATACTTCATAATGATTAACGTGGTTTCTGGAGCGCTATTCGCACAGGGCCTCAAAGAGCTTTGTGTGCAGGTATGTGTCTTTAACTTCTTTGCACCATACACAAGCCAACCATGATAATTGGAGATGCGGGGAAAGGACAACAAACTAAACACAACAACAGCAAGCAGTTCTATAGTCATGGGCTCCATGTGAATCTTGTCGAGTTAAGGAGAAAGCCTGCAGTAAAAATGGGTGAGAATCAGCAGATGTACGGTTTTTTCGCAGTGGAATATAAAACTTAAGCAGATTGGTGGTCAGCTATTAAGGAGCCAACTCATTGAAGCTAAGTAAGCTACAGCGTAGGGCATCACATTATCACTTGGGGCCTCTAAATTCCCCAAAATAATAATAATACATTTACAGTTTTACATAATCGGTTGAAATTAAGGAGGTAGGGGGGAAATTACTGTCGAGAGCGGTTATTTTCATTCCGATATGACAAAAAATATGCAGGCATTACTCAATAATAGAGATTTTTTTTTGGGTTAGATCGCGTAAATATATAAATGTGTCATTTAACCCACCACCACCCGACACAACCAACTAGTAAGGGTTGTCACGTAAACAGAATGTGCCAATTCGTCACTAGTACAACACACCGGTGTGTTGGAGAGCCAAACCACATTTACAAACTGAGTATGACGTGTCGCCAGTAATTATAACTATCTTCATCAGGCGACAGCCAGATTTGTGGAGAAGTTCACCTGTTTCGTTCCTTATATAGAGGCGTAGATGTGGTGACCAAACTTCTAAGCTCTTGAGTCAACGTACATTATGCATGTGCATTATGCGGGACCATTGATCTTGTCCTTCCTACGTGATAAACAGCAATTACTCGATTTACGAACCCTAAGCTTGACATAGCTTAGGGCCCTCAGCAAGTCCAAATTTGGCCCTGGGTAAGACACAAGTTGTGTTGTACATGGTGTGGTTAAATTACAACGTAGATTTTCGTAGCCAATACGTTCATCGTTATTTGTTTGTGTTCGGCCACGTGGCTAGTTTTATGCCAAAATTAAACTTAACGAAAACGAAGGTTTTTTTAAAGCTATTTTTATTTTAGACACGTAAGGCCCACTGAGCTATCAGAAGCAAGGAGTCCAAACAACATTACTGGGCAAAGGGAGCTCGCCTTCCAGTGTTTGCAGATCCTCAAAGGTTTGAGAAAGGAGCCAATCACGGTGAATGTTGCTGTTGGGTCCTCTGCTGAGGAGGTGTGAATGAGAGAGGGGGGGGGGGTGATTGTGTTAAGGCTGCCTTTTATGACATCGTGCCGTACCAATGAAATTCCCACCTGGTACAGATACATACCGAAGTAAGGTAAGAGATGGATTCCAGCTGGTTCATCAGCCAGTGACCTGGTGATTAATGCCCATTCTGGGAAAGTTTCCCTACTGCTGGGCCTAGAACTTGCCACATTGGTGGTTTGGCCTAATCAACCAAATTAAAACTCCTGCCCGCGTACTATGTGTAATTGAAGACGTTAATCTTTCCACATCTCCATGAGTCATAGAGCAATTGCATAGGTGGTAGGTGGTTAGGGCTAAGGGGGCTTAGACCCTTCAAACCTATACATGCCGTTCGAGATTTGAAGCTTTCGTGACTGCAAGGATTCATACTCTTAGTTTTTTCGGTCAAGTCACGTAGGTAAAAATAAATTAATAAAAATAAAATAATAAATGCATGCCGGTTTGTAATTACTGGCGAAACGTCGTACTCGAATTGTAAATGTTGTGGGTTCACTCTCCAACACACAGCCGGTGTGCTGAACTAGTAACGAATTGGCACCACATTCTGTTTACGCGCCAACCCTTACTAATTGGGCTGTGTCGGGTGGTGGCAGGTTTAACGGCACATTTATATTTATGCAATCCCACCCAAAAAAAACCGCTTATCAATGATATTGGTCGCGAAAGCCTCGTACGTGTTATACATCTGTAATGAGATGACTTCCGAGCAGTGAGGGTTTCTTATTTATTTCTCGATACTTTAAGGACAGGGTCACTGAATAACACGAGCGCTGAGTGAGTTTTAGCTTAGCCACCCAAACAGCCACATTGGCAACACACAACTATATAGCTGACTGACTATATAGTGACGATGACCATGAAGACTGCATAGCCGGCTAGCTATGCAGTGACGATGACGACGAAGAGATGGCAGTGATGACAGCGACCACAGGCCCCATGACAGCCTCGAACCCCCGTTTGCCTCTCCCTTATATCCCTCCAGCGTGGCGAAGCCCCGTCCCTGGCCACGCCCCTTTTATGGAACTCTCTCGCTGGTTCCAGGAGCTTCCAGATCGATCCCTTCCTCAACCCTTGGCCCAGTTACACCCCCCTTGTGGTTGCTTATATGTGTGTCGTTCTATAACGCACCTATACCCGTAGTTAGCCCCCATGGCCAGCAAATGTCACCCTGTCACTACACATCCATCAATATCAGTATGTGTGGACGGAGCTTGGAGCAGATGCATTTCAGCAGCATCAGAATCTTTATTTAGACTACAGGAGGAGGAGGAATCCGATGAGCTATGAAGCTCTTTTTCACAGATGTCCAGGAGGGGCAGGGGAGTCAACAAGTTACGACAACAAACAACAACAAACAACAACACGAACATCGAGAGGAGGGCAACATAGAGAAAAGTGGGAGGCAGTGAAAGGATGGTCAGAAAAATAAGAAGAGCCCTGGGCAGCTGAACTAGAGAAAGTTACCATGGTGGGAAGAGCGGGTGGTGCAACTTGCAGTCACCCCATTCATTTGAACACATTCCGTTTTGAGTCATTCTACTGGCCTGGCTCAATTCCACCGGCGTTGTCTTCAGCACTGAGTAGAACGTCTTGTTGTTATGCGAGTGTAAATATTGCATATATATAACATTATATTACGTGTGTGTTTTGTGTTGTAGGCTCATTGAATTGGATTTGGGTTGTCGTATTCATTATTTTTGCTGCTTTGGGTGGAGTTGCTGTTTTCGTATATTGGTTTAAGAAAGTGAAAACATCTCAACATGCGGGTGAGTTCCATTGTCATCCTGGCATCGTGTTCACTCTGTTGTCAAACAGTGTTTATAACCTGCTTTGACATGTGGATAAAAAACATGGACACACTTTACGTTAAAATAAATTTTCGACCGAAAAATACGAACACCGCAACCTGATCTTACCCTAACACTCACTGCTGTTGATTCATTTTCAATTGGTAATGAATATATTCACATGAAGTAATCACACGTTTCATAAGTACAAACTGACCACACACTGAATACGGAGTGATCAATAACACAGGGCTACTGGGTCACACGCTGCTCCTCAATGCCGCCAGTCTGGTTGTGTTCCTCGCTATTCGAGGGATGATTTCTCAAACCGGACGTTCCCTGCCCTTAGGACTTGCCCTGTGTAACCACAATGCCCGTGTTTGTGTCCCATGATGAAGGTTCCCATGCCACCGACTCTGAGAGGCAACCGCTGAGTAGCGACGATCGCTCCGAGCCAACCCAATCGGAACCACAGGTGACAACTCCTACCACACCACCTCCACCACCATCACCACCGCACTCCAGGCACATGATCGGCTACTAACGCTGCCTGTTCCAACTCCTCACCCTGGTCTACAAATTCTTTCATGGTCTTGCCTCACCATATCTTGCCACGCTTGTAACTTTCTCTGTGTCGCTTTTCGCCCTCATCAGTCTGAATCTTTGCCGTCTCTCCTTGCTCCTCATTCTCGTTGTGCTCAATCCAAGCAAGTTCCATTGCAGAGTCCACGTCCTAACAGTGGCCGTGTCGCAGGTGGAGGTTGCCGTTGTGAGAGACGCCGTGGAGATGATCCAAGAGAAGATGGCCTCGGGTGGAGGTGCCGTGTGGACGTGGCTGAGTGACCGCTGCTCAGAGCTGCTGGGGAGTGGAGGCGGTGGGGTCGGGCCCCACCTCTTGCTCGACCTCTTCCTGCGGGAGCTCATCGACGAGGCCGAGTACTGGAAGGCACGCGGCCTCCCTGATGCGTCGCGACTAGCACACTACGTCATCGCCCTCGTGGTAGACAGAGGAGAGGAGGCCTGCGGGAAGTTCAGGGACATTTACGAGGACTTCAGTAGCAGGAAGAGAACATTTCTAGACATGCAGAGTCAGGCTGGTAAGTACATAAATGACTCGTACATTGCAACATTACCTGTATCACTATAACGTAATATGTTTAATTCGATGTGTAGGTCATGCGGTGGAGTTTGAGAGTGGTAGCCACGCTGGTCAGGGCAGCTTGGTAGATTGCATCATTCAAACGGTCAAGAAGAGCAAGTGGGCTGGGACAGAACGTGCCGTTAGAAGGGATGAGAGGCGATGGTCAAATATAGCGGTGGAGGATGCCCGCTGAGGAGACGGGGCAAATAAATGAGTTTGTGTGCAGGTGGTCGGTGGATTATTACCTCCCGGGTTTGTAGAGATGGAAACGGCTTGAAGGCCTTCATGTGGCAGTCGATTGATCTCGGTTGTTGATGATGATGACATAAATAACGACATCAAGACAGCTCCGTATCCTCCACAGAAACCGTGTTTGTGCCTCGTTATGTTAATTGGGTTATATTCCACGCGTCCATCCCCCAAGCTGCACATTTTCTTCTCATCCCCACAACTACCCCACGTGTCCCACTGCCATGATTCGACCGTTCAACCAACACAGCAGGAGCAGCGGTGGTGTCCCTGGCAGCATCATCAACGCCAAATGATCTCATTCATCTGATAACGCCGTTAATTATTTTATTGTTACAGAAATCTGCTCACCAACATACGACCCTAACACAGCAAATGGGTTCCTACTGCTCTCCACGGACCTCAAGACGGTAACAAAAGCAGCTGATCAACTGTACCCACATCACATGGAGAGGTTTGAGTCCGTCCCCCAAGTGCTGTGCTCAGAGGGATTCTCCTCCGGGCGCCACTACTGGGAGCTGCACGTGGGCTGTGCAGAGCAATACATGGTCGGTGTCGCTTGTGGGAAGAATGCGATGGAGAGAGAAGAATGTATTGCTGGGCTGGACGGGGTTAGACTGTCCTGGTGCGTGTGGAGACGCGAGGCTGAGCTCGTGGCTGCTCACAATGGAGAAGTCACCGTGCTGAACCCGCCAGTGCCTCCCCAGCGAATCGGGATTCACCTGGACTGTGGCAATCTGAAGCTCACGTTTGTTTGTGCTGAGACCATGACGCCTCTGCACGATTTTTATTTGGAGGAGTGGAAACGCTCCGTTACGCTACGTCCTGCAGTGTTGCTGCTTAGTGGATCGATTACCATTGGTGAGATCAGTCATTCATATAATTAACATATTTCACCTAGTTGTTGGCAGTAGGCTTCACTTGATATCAGCTTAAACATCACTCTTGCAATAGCAATACCCAGGTTGTCATCGCTAGTAGTACGATTCATACTCTTTGGTTTTTTCGGTAAAGTCAAGTAGGTGAAAATAAAATAAAAAAATGAAAACTAAATTAAATCACGACGTTTCAGGCGCAACACAATCGTCCGTCATCAGGTGGGAAAGCACAGTATACTGCTGAGGTAGACTGTTTTAAAAGGTTTGAAATGAGTGTAGCTCAAGGGTTATAAAGTGGCCGGGGTTAGTGATGTTAATGTGAGAAATTAGCATGTAACTGTGAGATTGAAGAGCAGCCTCCTGCTAATCCCTCACATTAACATAGCCACTTCCGTGCCCTCGTTTAGGAGGCCGCTCTTCAATCTCACAGTTACATGCTAATTTCTCACATTAACATCACTAACCCCAGCCACTTCTGTATAACCCTTGAGCTACACCCATTTAAACCCTTTTAAATCAGTCTACCTCAGCAGTATACTGTGCATTCCCACCTGATGACGGATGCTTGTGTTGCGCCCGAAATGTCGTGATTTAATCTAGTTTTAATTTTTTTATTTTATTTTCACCTACGTGACTTTACCAAAAAAACAAAGAGTATGGATCCTTGCAGTCACAAAAACTTCAAATCAAGTAGTACGATTCATAATTTAGTTTTGAGTGAGGCCAAGTAATGATCGCTCTACATGTGCCGTCAAAACCTACAACAAATCGACAGCCAATCTAAACGCTACGCATGTTTAGAGATTATCCAGCTGAAGATGGCTGGCAGTAATAGAATCAAATATAATATTTACAACACAAAAAAATATTTAAATTATTTTTAGAATTGTGTAAGCTTCAAAACACGTCAGATTTAGCATTTTGTAGCTTAATCCATTTTTTACGATCCACTCATGTGGATCGTTAAAACTCGCACTCAGAGGCAGTGTTCTAGATACTGAAAAACAGCGATGCCCTGAGAAATTAAGCAGCTCTTGCCTAGCAATTGCCTGTGGCTGAGGACTTTGCATTTGCTCTGGATTCTCTCACGTCTCTCATTTGCGTGTTTTTGTTCACCCCTCTCTTAGCCCAACCCCTCAGTGGTGATGTCAACAAATCCGTTCACCAGAAGGTTTATGAGTACGAGGCCGGTTTGACGCCTGTGCGGAATGAGATGGTGGCCCTGCTGCGCAGGAGACCCTATCTCTTCCTGCATGAGATGTTGATGCAGGGCCACATCGAAGCGCACATATACTGGAAGGCGTACATGGAAAACATTTCCATAAAGTGTGAAAAGTTCATCCGCGAGGAAGTTGAAAGTGTAAAGAAGGACGGGGAGCTCGAGGAAGTGATGGAAGCCACTAGAAGTAATGAAAGAGACTTCCTCGCCATGTTAAAATCGTCAGGTAAGAGACAAACCACTTCAATACCAGCACACCTCATGCTTGCAAGCTTCAGTTTATAGTCATCACAAGTGTTATTGTTGTAACATAATTTGTCAACGTCAGTGTACAAGATGGACATTGGGAAGGTTGTCAGGAGAGTGAGACGTCAAGGTGGGCATGAAGTCTCAATCATCTGTGGCTCTGACAAAGGTTCGCTCTGTCACTGCTGTTGCTGTAAACGATGCCGTTTACAACCAGAATACTAAATTCCAGATAGTTTAGGTATTCATCCACAATCAGCAACGATTTATCTGGTAAAATAAAGATCTCATTGTTTTAAATTGTAAGCATGCACCTCCGATAAGCACTCTTGGCTACGTACGGCGAGAAAGAAGTTCAACACGCATGCAAACATATCACTATTCTTGTTTTGTTTTCAGAAAGGTGTTCTCCCACCGTGAACCCCAATTCCGTGAACTCCGACCTCCGCCTCTCCGTCGACCTCAGGACGGTGACTCTGTCCTCCGAGCGCCACTCTTACCCCCACCACCTCGAGCGCTTTGAGAACTCCGCTCAGGCGCTGTGCCGCGAGGGCTTCTCCAGCGGCGCGCACTACTGGGAGGTGGACGTGGGCGGCGCGGAGCAGTTCAGAGTGGGCGTCGCGTGCGCCACTCTGCCGCGCGGAGGGAGCGCGGAGGCGCAGGTCCTGGGCGCGGGCGCGGACTCCTGGTGCCTGTGGAGACGCGAGGGCGGCTACGCGGCGAGCCACCGCGGCCGCCACACCGCACTGGCGGCCGTGCGCCCTCCTCCCAGGAAGATCGGCGTTCACCTGCGTTGGGAAGAGGGGCTCCTCTCGTTCTACTGCGCCGACAGCAGGAGGCGGCTGCACTCATTCAATGCCACCGCCTTCCCAGGCCCTCTCTACCCCGCCCTGTGCGTGCACAAGGGGACGGTAACCATACTTCGCAAGAGTCTACGGTTTGAGGAGGGTGAAGGAGCGACCGTTGAGATGGAGGAGAGTGGGGGAGTGAAGGGAGGTGTGGTAGAAGGTGTGGGAGTGAACAGCGACACGAGTAAGAATGTGGAGCTGCACAGCAACGTCGTGGAGAATAGAGGAGAGAAGAGTGGAGGAGAGAAGAGTGGAGTAGAGAAGAGTGGACTAGTGGAGAGTGTAGTAGTGAAGAGTGTAGTAGAGAAGAGTGGAGGAGTGAAGAGTGGAGTAGAGAAGAGTGGAGGAGAGAAGAGTGGAGTAGCGGAGAGTGGAGTAGAGGAGAGTGGAGGAGTGAAGAGTGGAGGAGTGAAGAGTGGAGTAGAGAAGAGTGGAGTAGAGAAGAGTGGAGGAGTGAAGAGTGGAGGAGTGAAGAGTGGAGTAGAGAAGAGTGGAGTAGAGAAGACTGGCGTAGAGAAGAGTGGAGTAGAGAAGACTGGAGTAGAGAAGAGTGGAGGAGTGAAGAGTGGAGTAGAGAAGACTGGAGTAGAGAAGAGTGGAGGAGTGAAGAGTGGAGGAGAGAAGAGTGGAGTAGTAAAGAGTGGAGGAGTGAAGAGTGGAGTAGAGGAGGGTGGAGTAGAGAAGAGTGGAGGAGTGAAGAGTGGAGGAGTGAAGAGTGGAGGAGAGAAGAGTGGAGTAGAGGAGGGTGGAGCATCGCAGATTGAGGTGGGGGATGGAGGAACTGGGGGAGGTGCTGCTGGGGAGAGTGAGGCCAGCAACGGGGTAACGCAAATCTCGAGTGGGGCTGGTGGGGGCACGATGAGCGGAGCAGAGAGCGACGCAACTAAACTTGGGGACGTGAACATTGGCTTAGGGACGATTGAAGGAGAGAAGAGTGAAGTGAAGGTTGATGGCGGAGGAGGGAAGAGTGGTTTGGAGGAGAGTGGAGTGTTGCATAATGAGTCGGAGGATGGAGGTACTGGGGTAAATGGTGCTGGGCAGAGTGGGGATGTGGAGAAACACACTGTGACGACTGGGAGTGGTGGTGAGAAAAGTAAAGGGAAAAAGGAGAGATCAATTGGGAGTAAACTTAAAGGAATAAAAATGGCTGTGATTAAACGTGAGGGAATGAAAAGGAAGGTGGATGGAGCAGTAAACAGTGACAAGAGTGAAAATGTTGACGTGGACTGCAAGTTCGGGGATAATGAAAGAGACGAGAGGGATGTCGAGGTGGGGGGTGGCGGAATGGAGGGGGGTGGTGCTGGGGAGAGTGCGGATGCGGATACAAAATCTGAGGCGTTAGGAGAGACGGTGTGGTAATTATAGGGCGTTTAACATCACTGAGTGGAGAGAGTGAAAGTGGGGGAGTGAATAGTGAGGTGGATGAAAGTGGAGAAGTGAATATCGATGGCGTTGATGGTGGAGAGAAGAGTGGAGTAGAGGAGAGCGGAGTGTCACAGATTGAGGTGGGGGGTGGTGGAATGGGGGGAAATGGTGCTGGGGAAGTGAAGGAAACTGTGAAGAGCGGCGGCGATGACGTAGAGAATGAAGGGAGAGTGCAGACATTTATCGGGGCAGTTTATTCGTACTTGACAGGAGCTTCGAGTGAGGTTGAAGTAAAGGACAGCGATGCTGGGAATGGTGCAGGAGAGAAGAAGAGTGGGGAGGAGGTGGTGGAGGAGGGGAGAGGGAAGAGCGTGAGAGTGGAGGGACACAAAACGCCGACTGTGCAGGCGTTGAGAATTCAGATGAAGACTTCGCCCCGTGATGATTCCAGATTCTCAAGTGCAGAGAATTGATGGCTACACAAAGCGTAGCACCACTTTATCTTTGTTTTTGACGTAACTCATCGTATTCATAATAAAGGTTTTGTGTTACATCGCGTAAATATAAATGCGTCGTTAACCCACCACCACCTGACAGCCAATTCGTAAAGTTTGTTACATCAACAAAACGTGCCAATCAGCTATTTTAACAATATGGTTATCCTCTTTTTCTGCAACAAAACTGAAATATTTTTACGAGGAATCATGTCTGCATTAACCATAATACTTGTGGTCAGAATGCAAACAAAAAAACACACTCTGATAATTTTTGCATTGTCCTTGAAACTGATTGGTCCACACCAGAGACAGCTTTCTTTATTTTTTTTGCATTCTGACCACAAGCATTGTGGTTAATGCAGTCATGATTCCTCGTAAAAATATTTCAGTTTTGTTGCTGTAAAAAAGGGTAAAAACCTATTCTTATATTTTGGTACCGGCAAAGGAAGTCCCATGAATCAGCTATTACTTCAGCATATGGGTTGATGGTGAGTCAACCCAAAACATTTACATTGCATGCAGTACGACGTTTCACTGTGATTACAACCAGCTTCATCAGATTTTCCCGGATTGTGAAGAAGTCTTCCTGGTTCCGGTCTTAAATAGAGCAAGATTGCCCACGTGTCACATTTAAGAGATTCATCTCCTTCAAACTCTTAGAATGAATATTTAGGTACAGCTGTAATGAGTCCGAGATTCTGAGCATGACGTGTGATGTTGCACCACCTGGTGGAGTTCACTGATATTGAAGGGACATCAGAAGCCGCAATGCAACATCAGAATGCAAGAATGAACGGCTCAGTGACAGCACAGCAAATATAAATGAATGTTACGGCCAATTTGAATATGCATAGAGAAAAATAATGGTTTGAATATGAACAGATGCACGATTGTACTTGCATTATCAAGGGCCAGGTTATGGCAATGCAGGGGCCCTGGGCTTCAAGAGCCGAATGGCTCACAGGGCTATACCTAATACATGAACTTGAACTTGAAGCTCAAGAGACCCGATCTAGGAGTGGGTGTGTCAAGAAGCGCCGTGGAGACGTCCATCTCTAACAAAGCGACGTCTCTATCGTCTTAGGAGTAACGTAGCTACAGCTCCGTGAACAGTCGGCCCCGATGTCTTCCACCTCGTAGACGTTGTCCCGGGCAAGCGCCCAGACCGCGGCCTCGCCCTGCTCACAAAGCCTCTCGGCCCACCCTCAACTGGACAGCGCCCTCCACCCCCAGTGCGTCACGTGACGCCAATCGTCACGACGCGCCGAGTTAATTAATTATATAGACACTCCCCTATGGCCACGCGTTCTTAACGCCCTCCATGTGGACACTTTAACTTTCTATTTGCAGTCCCCTACAACTCTAGAGTGTTGTCATGGGAATTAAAATAACAGTTTTAGAGTCTTTATTTTTGTACCTCCGTCGCCTTTATTTTTGTTTACCGATCATGTAAAACTAAAACCTTCATATTATTGACTTATAGCTTTCGTGACTGCAGGAATTAATATTCGTTTTTGTCTTCCTCCTGATGACGATCGCTTGTGTTGTGATCGAAACGTCGTGGTTTTTGTTAATTTTATTTGTATTAATTTGAACCTATCTACGTGACTTTACCGAAAGACCTAAAGAATATTTCAGATTATTGTGCTAAATAGAATTAAACGTAATGCAGTCGGGTTCATGGATGATTCAGCACTCAGCAAAATCACTCGACTCACTCGCTCACGGGCGGTCAGTCACCTCCGTTTCACTCTTCTGGCGCTATCACTTTGGTGACTGTTCCCACGAACTAACACTCATTGACCCCTTCACTCGGTCTTCCACACTGCCCGTGTGGTCCACACCGTGTCCAGCCACCACACAACGCTTCTCTGTCTGATTCTTTCCCTGGCATTGCTCAATGTGTAAGTTCCCCATGCAGTTTGTCTCTCTTTCCATCTCCGTACGACCAACCTCATTTCAATAAGCGTCTTAACTTTGACTCATTACACGGTCGTGAGTGCCGTCTCTGGGTCCGTTTTTTGCCAGTATCAAGTTGATGAAAAAATAATCGTCTCGACTCTTCCCGTCAAGAATACAGGAGGCGTTAGGATGTTCAAACACCAAATAGACTCCCTATCACAAGGCATCGAGTCTGCATTAGAGGAGGCCGTCTCCGGCGTTGGCCGAATCAGCGCTATCGTGAGCGCTCTTCACTGCTGCCTGCTTGTGTAGATAAGTTCATCGGAGACGTCCATCTTCAGGGGAGTTGAGACTCCAACAGTCAACCCCGATGGTGTCCACCAAGTTGAGACTCCAACAGTTAACCCCGATGGTGTCCACCAAGTTGAGACTCCAACAGTCAACCCCGATGGTGTCCACCATGTTGAGTCTCCAACAGTCGACCCCGATGGTGTCCACCAAGTTGAGACTCCAACAGTCAACCCCGATGGTGTCCAAATTATTTGGTTATTTCGGTAAAGTCACGTAGATAGAAAAAAATAAGAAAAATAAAAACCACCCCCCCTGTTGCCAACGAAACATCGTGGTTTTTATTATTATTTTCTATCCACGTGACTTTACCGAAAGAACCGAATAATTTGAATTCCTTTAGCCACGAAAGTTTTAAGTCGAAACGAAAGTGTCCACCAAGTTGAGTCTCCAACAGCCCCCCCCCCACTAAACCATAAGACGCGTGTGCTCAGTGCCTTCTGTCCACCTCTTTGTCAACCATCTGAACCCCCCACCACCCCTACACTTGTAATGGCCTCTACCAGTTGCGTTTTTATTGAACTCAAAGTCCATTGAGTCGAGCCGCACCCTCCTCGTCCTCCTCATCAGTCACGGGGAGAACCCCGACGCGAGCCTCAAGGGGAGTCCATCGCCTCTTGCTCAAGTCCACACATCCGTGTGGACAACTGCTGGGCCATGTCTCAATTACGCCTGCTCACCACACTCCTAACCTTCACACTCATGCTGGTAAGCTGCGTGTGTGCGTGTGTCTGTGTACCTGTGTACGTGTGTACCTGCGTGCGTGGGTCTGTGTACGTGTGTACTTGCGTGTCTGTGTGTACGTGTGTGTCTGTGTGTACGTCTGTGTGGGTCTCTGTGTGTCTGTGTGTACGTGTGTCTGTGTGTACCTGTGTGTGTCTGTGTGTACCTGTGTCTGTGTGTACCTGCGTGCGTGGGTCTGTGTACGTGTGTGTGTCTGTGTGTACGTGTGTGTGTCTGTGTACGTGTGTGTGTACGTGTGTGTCTGTGTACGTGTATGTCTGTGTGTGTACGTGTGTGTGTCTGCACTGCGAACCTGGCGACCTGAGTCCGATTCCCACTCACGGCCAATACCACCAGTGACAATTATCTGAACCGGTTCTGGGCCTCCCCTAGGTCGACTCAGCCTCAAATGGAGTACCTGGTGCGGTGTGTAGTAAACATCGCTAGCACTGGGGAGACAAAGGCTTCCGGGCGTGGTGCTGGCCACCCACCCACCCACCCCCTCGTATGCCGTGCCGTCCTTCATCGGCTGTGCTGGGGATCTTTGTCTTCACACGTCGCGAGGAGCCCACAGGAGGTGCACGAGAGGCTGGCTCATTGTGTCACCTGAGGACCCCATGGACTTCCTCCACTTCCTCATTTGATGCCCCCCCCCGCCTGCCCGACGATATCCCGGGGGTTTTGGGCAGGGAAACCAGGCAAGGCAGGCTTGGACCGCGGCGAGCCACGAGGAGGCCTCAACATCGGGTCAATGTTTGGCATCGACACCAGCGGGGGGGGGGGGGGGGCACACTACAGTATAAACTACACTCTCTACACTACACACTATACTATACACACCACACCACAATATACCTGTCAACCCCTTATCAGCGCCTACATTATTATCGACTGTATTGGTCAACCCGTGCCACTAATAAATCTCAAACGTTCATCCTACAAAGACCCATCTAAACACAAACAAATTAGACGAAACATTTGTCCCGCATTGAAACGGCCCGACCCAACATGGAACTCGGAACTCGAGATCCCTGCACAAGCACGCGGGCTAACCCGTACCAGTGCCGGATGATCCCAGTAGCAAAAGGAGCTACAAATACGATGGGGCCCGCACTTTCAATGGCCCCGCGCTAAATGCTTTCAAGCTATCAAGTCCGGTTCAGTGGACTCTGCACTTGCTCTATTACTATAGTACTCTACCGCCCTTCAACTTTTATGAACGACTGGGTGTTTAAGGTTAGCGATTTGTCTTATTATCTGGCCATATAGCAATTGAAAAAATACAATTGCTTTACTATGCAAGTTAAACATTTACGTGTTTTAATATTTTTTTTTTAATTTAGGGCCCCGTTATAACATCGTACGCTACAGCCCCCCTGCACTAGCTTCACTGAACCGTACGCGTCGACAGCTCTGAGATCTGCCCCTGGGGTTTGGACGGGGGGTGGTAGGCACCGATTCCGTGGTTCGCCAATTGCGAGCGAGGTGGCATTACGCGTGAGATGGCGTCTTGGAGCGGTGGGGGCGGGGCCGGGGGAGGACAAGCGCATGGAGTTGCCTCACGGTCCAAAGACGTCACGTGTGCAATTACATCACGGGGCAGTGTGCACGTGGCCTCAGTTCTTTTTCCGATTATAAGAGCCCGGCGTTGCGTTTGTCCGTCAACTAAAATCATAAGAGAGCCTTTCAGAAGGCCCATATACCAAAAAAAGTTAATGGTGTAGTGGTTGCCGCAAATATGCGTTTCATGCGGTGTGTAAATACATCGCCACTGGGGAGACAAAGGCGGCCGGGCGTGGTGCTGGCCACCTACCCCCTAGTGTGCCTTGCCGGCATTCATTAGCTGCTCGTCACTAACGGCACTTGCCCCAACAGTCTGCTAAGGCCCTACGGGGGATCTTTGTATTTGTTGTGTTGGCACGTTCCAATCGGACGCATCCGGTAAGCTCAGTTACAGCGCGAGAGCTTGCAATGGAAGATTGCTCGAGAAAGGAGTACTGTATTAACCTCACACAGCACTTGTGGTGAAATACAAACATGCTCTGATAATAATGCATGGCATTGTCTTGGAAACCGA